TTTTTTTTTTTTACGAGTCTCACTCTGTTGTCCCAGGCTAGAGTACCCTGGTGTCACAGCAACCTCAAACTCCTGGGCTCCAGTGATCCTCTTCTCTCAGTTTCCCAAGTAGTTGGGTGTACAGGTGTCTGCCACTACGCCAGGCTAGTGTTTCTATTTTTAGTAGACATGATATCTTGTTCTTCCTCAGGCTGGTCTCAAACTTCTGAACTCAAGCAATCCACCCACCTTGGCCTCCTAGAGTGCTAAGATTTCCTGGCCCAAAGTTACATTTTAACATTCACACCTGCTCCTTACCCCTGCCATACCCCACTGAGCTTCCAAGAGGGGGAGGCTTAATTGATATGGTGGGACAGGCTAATGTATTCCTCAGAATATACTCTGGGATCTATCCCTTGGTGTGAAGGAAGATCGACCCTTAGAACAATGAATTCTAGTGTTCATGATCTTTGTACCATAAGGTTTAAGGAAATGTTTTGTAGTTGTCTTTTTAAAAACATTAAGCACATTTGTGAAGGCTTGACAATTATATCTTTAGAGAAAACCAGAGGAAGAGAGCCCCCGTAAAGATGATGCCAAGAAAGCCAAACAAGAGCTGGAAGTGAATGGAGGCAGTGGGGATGCTGTCCCCAGTGGAAATGAAGTCTCGGAAAACATGGAAGAGGAGGTGGGCAGTTAAGGGGGGCTCAGCCTCTTGCCTCATCCCTTGTTCTAAGGAACTGGGAAAACCCAGTCCTCCTAAATGCATGCTCCCCACCTTGAGCCTGTTTGGATTGTTGAGTGCAGCCCTCACAGAAACAGTAATTGTGCAGGAAACGATTTGGTTATGGGAGTATAGGATGAATCACAACTTTAACCTATATGCCACAGGTCCCCCAAATGAACTTATGAGAAGCTGATTGGCAAAACCATTAAGTCACTTCTGCTTGCTCCTTTCCATGTCACATGGGATTATTGGCTCTGTTAGCCCTGTTGTCACAAAGAATTCAGGAAATTGCCTTGTACTTTGTGGTCACTGCCCTCTTAGTATAGGGAGCAAAACAGTTTGGGTGGCCTGTGTTCTGTTTCTCAGACTGAGGCCTGCTTAGATATATATGACATGGAATGGCTTAAACTAGGGTCACTCATGCCCAGGCTCCATTTGTCTTCTAGGCTGAGAATCAGGCTGAAAGCCGGGCAGCAGTGGAGGGGACAATGGAGGCTGGAGCTACAGTTGAAAGCACTGCATGTTAAGAGGGGGCAGAGCCTTCCTCCCAAGGGAAGGTGTTTTTGTATATAATGTATTTTTTCACTTTTGGGGGATTCTTTTTGTATAACTTCAATAAAGATTGTAAGCAAAGGTTGAGGCTTTGATGGTTTTTTTCCTGATTTGACTGAATCTGTGCCTTGGAGCACTCCAGGTTTTATATAGAGGCCAAATATACTTTTTTCTTTCCTTCTCTACTGGTCTGTGTTGGAAGTTCTAATCCCAATTTCTGTCTGTCTAATGTAGAAGTGATCGAGTGTGGCTATAGGACCTTTGTCTTCCAACGGTGCTATATTTTTTCTGTTTTCAAATACGTGACTGAACCCAGCTGTCATGTAAATCTTCAGTGGTGCTGTCCCTGGATGGAGGCTACAAAAACAAGACTCGGTGAAGATCTTGCTCTTTGGTGCTAAAAATACATGATGGACTTTAGCTGTGAACCAAGCCTTGGGTGGTACTTAATTAAACCTTATATTCACCTAGTTTTCAACTGGGGCCACAATCCGATCCTGGGGGTGGGGGGAGAAAGTCAAGAAAAATTGGGGGTTGGGGAAAGCCGAGGAAAACAGTTGGTATGTTTAATTGTAGAGAATTGAGTTCTCTGGTTTGAAAGTGGCTGAGGGATTGATGGTGATAGATGCTTTGGAAGAATCTGTGGGGAGGCTGGCTGGTTGAGTTACGTTATTTTCTGTATAGAAAGGTTGAAATATATCAACACTTGGAATTGTTACCCTGTCTGCAGTTTTGACTTCTCAAATAAAGATACTCAAAAGTTCCTGGTCTGGAATTGTGTATAAAGATCTTTGTCCCGTCCCCCCACCCCCCACCCCCCCCAATCTCACTATGTCTCCCTTGGTAGAGTGCTATGGTGTCACAGCTCCCAGCAACCTCCAACTCTTGGGTTTTTTTTTTTTTTTTTGAGACAGAGCCTCAAGCTGTCCCCCTGGGTAGAGTACTAGAGCATCAGAGCTCACAGCAACCTCCAGCTCCTGGGTTCAAGCAAGTCTCCTGCCTCCACCTCCCAAATAGCTGGGACCACAGGCACCTGCCACAACACCTGGCTATTTTTTGGTTGCAGTCGTCATTGTTTGGCGGGCCAGGGCTGGATTTGAACCTGCCAGCTTAGGTGTATGTAGCTAGTGCCTTAGCCATTTGTGCCACAGGCACCGAGCCCAACTCTTGGGTTCAAGTGATTCTCTTGCCTCAGCCTTCCAAGTAGCTGGGAGTACAGGTGCCCACCACAACACCCAGGTATTATTTTGGTTGTAGTTGTCATTGTTTAGCAGGTCCAGGCTGGGCTCAAATTCATTATCTTTAGTGTATGTGGCCAGTGCCCTACTCACTGAGCTGCCTAAAACATTGCAGTGTGGTATATGGGGTTGAAAGGCAGAAATTAGCACAGCAGTTGTGGGAGTCTAGTCCAGAGATGATGGTGGGTCAAGGCACTGAGACTGCCATGCCATTAGGCTCTCACTGATGTCCAGGGTATAGGGTTTATTTGAGACCTTGACTGAGCTGTGTCTGACCTGACCCTAGTTTAAGAATCTATTAGAGACCTGGCACTATTTGGATCTGAATTCCAACAGTGCCTTTTCTACATTATCCAAGGGATTTAATGCAATAATCCTGACACCTATCGGTCTACTCTGTTGCACTGCACAGAAAAGTTAGTTAGAACTTACTGGTTTTAACATCCAAAGTGGAAGGCAAAGTGAGCTGTGCTGATCCTCAGGTCAGTTCCCTTTTCCAGAATTTTTCTCAGATAAGCGAAAATGGCAGGGTTTTTTCTGGGCTGGTCACAGTGTCATTGCTGCAGAAATCTCTGGTTTATCCTGGCTTTGGACTTTCTTCCTGAGGATCTCTTTGCAGTGTTAGTAGGTCCAGAAGTTTTTTCTTTTTCTTTTCCTTGGGACAGAGTCTCATTATGTCACCTTTGGTAGAGTGCTATGGCATCATAGCTCAAGGCAACCTCAAAGTCTTGGGCTTAAGGGATTCTCTTGCCTCAGCCTCCTGAGTAGCTGGGACTACAGGCACCCACCACAACACCTGCCTATTTTCTGTTGCAGTTTTTTGGGGTTTTTTTTGCAGTTTTTGCCTGGAGCTGTATTGGAACCCACCACCTCTAGCATATGGGGCCCGCGCCCCACTCCTTGAGCCACAAGTGCTGCCGGTTTTTTTTTTTTTTTAAGAGACAACAGTCTCTGTCACCTGTGGCAGAGTGCTGTGATGTCACAGTTCACAGTAACCTCCAGCTCTTGGGTTTAGGTGATTCTCTGCCTCAGTCTCCCAAGTAGCTGGTACTACGGGCACCTGCCACAACGCCCAGCTATTTTTTGTCACAGTTTCCCCGGGGCCAGGTTTGAACCCGCCACCCTCAGTATATGCAGCCAGCGCCCTACTCATTGAACCACAGGTGCCCACCCTCTTGCAGCTGTCACTGACTGGCCCAGGCTGGGTTTGAACCTGCCAAACATGATGTAGGTGGCTGGCGCTGTAACCACTGTGCCACAGACACGAAGCCTCTTTTTTATTTTAAATACGGATTTGGTTTTTTTGAGGCCGCTTCCTGCCCTGTCACCCTGGATAGAGTGCCATGGCATCATTGTAGCTCACAGCAACCTCAGACTCCTGCACTCAAGAGATCCTCTTGCCTCGTTTTTCTACATTTAGTAGAGATAGGGTCTTGCTCTTGCTGGTCTCAAATGTCTCAAACTGGTGAGCTCAAGCAATCTGCCTGCCTCAGCCTCCCAGAGTGCTAGCATTACAGGTATGAGCCACTGCACCTGGTCTGAGGCCTTTTTCTTTTCTTTTCTTTTTTTTTTGTAGAGAGTCTTACTTTATCACCCTTGGTAGAGTGCTGTGGCGTCACAGCTCACAGCAACCAACAGCAACCTTCAGCTCCCGGGCTTTAGGCGATTCTCTTGCCTCAGCCTCCTGAATAGCTGGGACTACAGGCGCCCGCCACAATGCCCAGCTATTTTTTGTTGCAGTTTGGCAGGGGCAGGGTTTGAATCCATCACCCTTGGTATATGGGGCTGGCGCCCTACCCACTGAATCACAGGCGCTGTCCCAGTGTGAGGCCTTTCCTTTTCTCCTTTGTTGGTCAGGCTTGTCATAACACTTGACTTCCAGACCTTTGGCATCCTTTGTTTGACACTGGCATGTGGAGCCACCCCAGCATCTTAATTTCAATTAGTATCTAACATGGAACCGCTTGTTTGGGGTTGGGGGAGAACATCACTGAGGTGAGGCCCTACCCTAAAATCTAAATATAGTAGAATCTGTAAGTTGACCACCAGGTACTGTAACAAACAGAAATATTAGGTGTTCAACGTAGAGTCAACTATGGATATTGGACTGTGTATAAGGCTGCAGGAGCTTTCTGGTTATGTTACCTTGAGAACAGAAGTTTCCTGGCAGAAGTACTGGACAAACAGGGATTTGGACAAAGTCTGGCAATAAAATTTGCTTTAGCACAAAGCAAGTCAGAGTTTCTTTACCTAAAAGTCCTTTAGTTGGAAGTAAAGAATGCTCCCAATCACCTTTAAGAGAATTATACATGCTAGGGGGGCAATATCGTAAATACCTGATGTACTCCTTCAATCTTAACATCAATCTGCTCTACAAAAGCAGAACAGGTAAGAAGGTACTTGGGCAGGGTGGTAAACCTGTGGCTGGAGCTTGTATTTCTGTACCCATAAATCACCATTTGCTTACAGGCCATATGTCAGAATGTGTAGTAAAGCCGCAAGTCTGGGAATGGGCCTCCACTCTGGGCCCTAGTCCTGCACATGTTCATACCCACATTTGCCTGGGTTCAGTTCGTTGGGGGCAGGTCAAAGTTGAAGTGAGATCACAAAACCTTGTCTCTGTCCTTGACTCTATTGAGGAGTTCTTCTGCAGGAGGTGGGGGATCAGCAAAGCCCCCTGTGGGGGTGAGGGGATTGGTTTCCAGTGAAGAAGAGCTGGAGACCTGTGCAATGAGAAGGGACGTCTTTAGCAAAATAGGGGCTAAGCTCACACAGGTTTAGGAACTTTTAAGAGTTCTACATACTGTGAACCAAATTGACCTTGATTTGATTTCCGTATCTGTTACCTACTAATATTTACCTAACACAGTGAATAATGTACAAAAAGCATTTGCCAGTGACTGATGCATGATGGTCAATAAAGGCTGGCCATTAACTTATACCACCCACACCTGTGGTGTCTCTAGTTCTACTTGGGCCCTCACCAGAGGTGGGTATTGGTACTCAAGGGCACTTGTTGGATTGATGTCTGCCAGTGTCTGGACAACTGCATCTCTTGCATTCACCAGCCGCAGGAAAAGCTCAGCCTGACCTGCCTGAGGTGAGGAAAAATGGTACTGCCTCCATACCTTGGAGGAGTATGCCCAGACCCCACTCTGCACTCACCTGAGGAATCCCATTCATCTGTCCAAGGCTAAGGCTAGGGTTCACAGGAAGGGTCCGAAGTGGGAGGCGCCAGCGGCCACTTAGCACCCGCTGGGCTTGATCAAATAGCACAAGTGAGGCCCAAGCCTTTGGCTGTGGTGCCTTAGCCCATGCCAGTCCCTGCCAGGCCTGTAGCTCACAGACCAATGATACTAGTGGTGAGGGTAGCAACCTGTAGAATAACAAAAAAGCAGTGTTGGAAGCCAGAGCTACAGTTCTCTACTAGGAGACAGCCCTCAGAGCCATAGCCCTCTCTATATAGATGAAGTAACTTAGAGGGACAAGCCTCAGTTGTGACAATACCAGAATTATGATCCCCATCTACTGACCTGGGCACAGGCTGCCTGTTGGCAAGGATGGCACAGTTGCCCTTTGGCCCAGGAGCTGGAGGTGGGGGCAAGCAAAGGGCGGGGGGCAATGCTGTGGTCCTTCCTGTATATTGGCCATCTTGTGTTAAGCCAGTCATTAGCTGCACCCAAGTCCAAGAAGCTTCAAGACCCCGAAGGAAGTCATAGAAGATGACCAGGCCAGCCCTGAGGAACACAAGGCTCAGCACACACCCAACTACTCTGTTTATAGAAGTCAAAAGGGAGGGGGCAGGCCTCACCCAGGGTCGTAGGGTGCAGGGCCCAGTACGTCAGAGGCGGGCAGGAGAAAGTGTGGGTCCAGGTCCAGATTCCCGGTCATTATTCCAGGAAGCTGTGGCTGTGGGCAAGAGAGTTAACTTCCAGAAATCCTTGTTGCCCACCCTCCCCCAACTGCTCAGAGCAGAGCTGCCCCTGCCCTACTCCCGGTCCTCACAGCCTTTCCCAAGCCACCCAAGAACTGGAGATCTGTGGAACTTGGAAACGGCGGGAGTGGGGGCGCCACTGGTGGCGGCAGGAGTGGGGTATCTCTCCTCCCCTTCTGTCGTAGCCTAGGACCAGCCAGAAGTTGCGGCTCCCCAGGTCCTAGGAGCAGAGGAAGAGTTAGGGCGCCCCTGAGCTGGAGAAAACTGGCTTAGATACGTCTCCATCCAGAGCCAAGCCTACAAATGGTCTATGGGATTATGGAGACACAAGGACACCCAGTCACAGGGAGATGCGTGTGGACAGAAACGGAGGGAGCACAGACACAGATCTCATTCCCCATGCACGGTCCTTTCATCCTCTCCCTGAGCTAGGTCTGCTGGGAAGGGCTAGGTGGGATGGGCTTGGGATGCTTACTGACCCCAAGGCGCCCGGCCAGGGCCTCTCTGCATCTGCATGGCCAGGATTTCTGCCTCCAGGCGCCGATTTTCAGCCTCAATTATTAGCAGCTCCTCGGATGGGGCACCTGCCCTTCCTGCCATTAAGTAAGTCTGACCTGTCACCTTTGACCTCTGGTGAGTGGCCTGGTCTGGCTGTGAACAGCTCTCCAGTGTTAGGTCTCGCTGGAAAAGGCTGGACTTGTCAACTCACATTTCAGCCACTGTCACAAAGATTACCCAGGTTTCCTATCTCGAGACTTTGGCCCATCTATGCCAAGGACGCCCTCCCTCACGTTCTTTTTTACCACTGCTGCAGAGTGCCCACTGTTCACCCCTGTGCTTCCGCGACCGCTGCAGCTCCAGTGCTGATGCCTCCACTTGCAACTGCCACATCTGACCCAGTACGCCCGGGTCTCGACCCCCTCCTCGAACATAGGTCTCACGCAAGGCCCTAGGGAGTGGAGGGACAGGAAGGGAGTCTATCCAGGACAATTCACGCTTCGTTCACGCCTATCTTTGGACTTCGCCCCTCACCCAATTTCAGCAGCCAGAGTGCCTGGTTTGGCCTGGAGCACCGGAAACCAGAGTTCTGCATTTTGCCAGGAGTTCAGTCGGGCTCTGAAATGCAGGGGCAACACGCAGGGAGACACACTCAACACCCCAACCCCGGACCTCCAGCCACGCCTCCCCTACCCTCCTCCACGATCTCCACTTTCCAGCTGCGTCTGGGCCTGCGCGCCCCCTCCGCCCCGCCGCAGGCTCCGGCTCCACCCCCACCCCCAGCTGCCGGCACCGCCCCGCCCGCCCTAGCCTGGCTGCCAGGAGCGCTGTCTCCGAGTCTCACCCTGGCTCCGGTTGTAGCTCTTGAACGCGCTCCCGTAACACCTCTACAGCTCCTCGGGTCCGCCCCGCCTCTGCCCGGAGTTCTCGAAGCTCCCGCTCCAAGCCTAACAGGCGGGATGCCCGCCTCCGGGCCATATCTTGGAGGCACCGGCTCAGCTCTGAGGGAACATGGGACTGAGTCAGAACCAGCCGGAGTAACCTTAAACCAAAAGGCGAGGGGCAGAGCAGGTCCTCAGCCCCCCTTCTTCACCCTCGCTACGTCGCTCCAGGGCCCGGCTCTGTGCTTCAGTCTCTGCCACGCGCCTCGCGCGAGTCGCCTGCAGCGCCCGCAGCCGCTCGCTGGGGCTCTTTGCAGCCTCGGAGGTGGGGCCCTGAGGCGGCGCCTCTGATGGTCTCCAGAGCCCTGCAGACCCCCTAGATACTTCCGTCCTCCAGGGGCGCTTTTTCTGTAGGGACAGCGGCAGCCACTGCACCTGCAGGTAGCAGTGGTCAGCAAGCTCTATGTTCGCGGAATCTGTCTTGTGCGGTGCTACAGGTTTGGGGACGTTTGGAGCCGTTGGGAAGGCAGGTGGGTGTACCTCTTCTGTTAACCTCTTTAGCGCAGATTCACTGCCCTGCTGTTCTTGGAAGCTCTGGAGTTCTCGTGACACAACCTGGGGACAGGGCGTAGGATGAGAATCGGGTGGGTTTGGCTGTCTTGAATACCTACTCGTGGCCATGGAGGAGACCCTTACCACGGCACCCTGCGGTTCAGTGACTGCTGAGGGCTGTGCTCCAAATGTCATCTCCTGGGCCACGCGGCCGATGCAGAAGCGCTGAATGTGGGTGGCTAACAGAGCTGAGGAGCGGAAAACCATGTCACAGGTCTCACACGGCAGGAGTCCTGGCTCCTCCGTGTGGGAGTCCATGGGATGAGACCTGTTTCCTGACGCCAGCTGATACCTGCAGAAAAAGGGACAGAGAGCAAGGGGAAGGAAAAGGGAGATGAGAGAGACAGAAAGGCAGAAGCAGAAAGGTAACGTCTACTCGGTCTAGGAGAACTTCCAGTTTATGTTTGGGGAGGAGCCTCAGCTCCCTGGGCAGCAACCACAAGCCTGGGCTGGTCAGGAAGATGGGTGGGGAAACCTTGGCCACCTTTGGGAGGAGCCCCTGGCTTGAAAAGGTGTCACAGTCTGTACTACCTCATTGCATGAACTTGGGCAAATGTCTAGCATTTCATCTTGGTTTCCCTGACTATATATATATATAT